AATGTGTACGCATGTACATGCATTTAACGAACATCGCTACCAGCGGGGTTCCCATTTAACCAGACGGGAAAGTAATGATCTTCAGGTACATCTCTTATGCTTGCGAAACTCACCTTGTAGTGGACGCTGCTTACTTAACCTGCAATATTTGTACTCTGCCCTTGAAGTTTAGTGGAGTATTTTTGATGACATTCTAACCTTCTGTTTGGGAGAGTTTGAAGATAACTGCTCATTAAGAAATATATTATCCTCATAGTTGCAGTCTATGACCCAGTGTGACTCGTTGTGCAAAGTTCCTTTCCAAGCAGAGCAACTACTAAAAGTGTTTGACAGAAGACAAACTGTTCGATGACGCTAATTGATGACCAAACTAAAATAGTGCAGCATGACTTTCTTGGGGAATTCATCTTCCAAATTTGATCCATCTAGCGTGCTGGATTAAGCTATAGGAACACTGCGGAACCGATAGCACGCTTGATTGTTTTCTGGATGCTTCAGAGAGGGTTTTAGCGTCGACATGCATGTTAGAGTGAAGGACAAAGTTGTACGAGCATGGTCTTCCATTCTAAGGAGGAAGTCTGGCATTGAGTCAATCAAAGCAGTAACTATCCTGCGTTTGAAGATTGTCTCCGCTGAGCTGACCAGGTGATCGAAGAGATGCGAATGGGAACGCTTCTGGTGTTCTGGATTGAAACGTTAACCGACTTTCGTCTGATTCGATTCACCATAACGTTTTACTAGCTTCGTTGCAAAACGTCTATCAATTATACATCCTCTTTCTTCCCTAATGTAATGGTGATGTATAGAGGGTTCAAAAAATCCAGCTGGTATATCCTCTGAATGGATAAGAGCATGTGAAAAGATTGAATAAAATCAACTCAATTCAAGTACTTGCTTTATACATCCTGGGCGGAAGAATATCCATCAGCACACGACCGCAGCAAGAAAAACTAAAACATACAGGAAAGATTACCAGTACATGCCGTTTAGTAGGGTATAAACAGGAGCACCATAATTTTTCCACTCGCCGAACTAGTTCTAGAACGAAAGAGGTAGGGCACAGCGAATAGCGCGATAGGTAACAATAACAATAATAATAAGAATAGGGATATTTCTCATCAAATGAGATACTGTGCTCATATTTGGCACATGTCCTATTTACAGAAAATATCATCCTCACGAATGAGTGATAAACAGTTATGTGATTTTCATTGTCTTTGCTGTTTCAAGGATATGTATTTGCTAACAGTTGCGTTTCAACACAACATGCACTAGTTGGTAAGGGGGTAGTAACAGCACTAAGGATGTATCACACTGTTTGAAATTTCCGTTTCACCCATCCGATGTTATCTGGTTCTTCTTGGAACAAGTCATCAAGTGATCATTTCCGGGAGAGCAGGGACCTACTGGTCTTCAATTCGAGGCAATTGCCGAGCTTAACGCGAAAGGCCGTTGTAGTTTCAGACGATCTGATTGTGACTGGGAGCTTATTCCAGGGGGCAGTCTATCTGATAAGGAGAAGTTGGACCACAGATTTGTCTTGAACCTGTGTAAACTAACGGTAAATTTCTTACTGCGTAACTCCCATGTCGAACTATGCTGTAGTTCTAAGGAAGTCAACTAGTAGTGGGCGTTTTGATGAATCACGTACAGAAATATCATATTATGCCTCAATCTTCGTAGCCAAAGCGGATCGAGCTGGAACTGTTGGCAGTGCTTCCGACAGTTCTTAATGAAAGTTTTGCCTAGCAGAAGTTACGTAAATGACCTTATTAAACTTTCCACAGATGCTATGGCAGATTTCCTGATGCTGCCACAAGTGATACAACAATATTCCAAATGAGGCTTTTGAAGAGTTCTACTCTGGCTGGGGTTATGTGAATCATTTATATCAAATTAGCCACTGAATTTCCTGCTCTGGTCAGGTGGTCTTCAACTTGTTCGGAAAAGTTTAGTTTAAGAATACCTGATTCCGAAGTCGCGAGTAGACAGCTGTACGCAAAGTTATTCATCGTTGAACAACCACGATACATGATGCTAGAGGTTTCCGCCGAGAACTTCATCACCCGAGTGTCACACCATTTCTCAAGGGAGTGAAGGTCTTTTTGTATGAACCGTGCTGTTCAACTCGTTGGAAGTTGTAGACTTTGTAAATGTCATCTGTAAATAGGTAATGCATAATATGTCTAATAACCGCACTGATGTCATCGATGTAGAGCAAGAACAGTAAAGAACCAAGTACACTCCTTTGGATACCGCCCCTAGTGATTGGACGTGGTGAACAGTGTTAGTCGGCTATGGTAACTACCTGAGAACGGCCGATCATGTATGATAATAGCCAGTCTAGGAGTGGATTCCAAAGGAGGCAATATTTTTCAGCCGCCTTTTGTGGGGGCATTTGATCGAAAGCCTTTTTCATGTACAGGAACCGAAGTAGGTTTGCGTATCCTGGCTCAATAGATTACAAAACATGGTTTAGATAATGCAATTGGCAGGTTATGCACCATCTTTTGTCCAAGAAACCATGCTGGGATCAGTCGATCAGCTCCAACTAATCGGTGAATTTCATCACACCTTTCTTAAACAGTTTCTCTAATAATCTGGCTAATATAGGGGTGCGATGGATTCGCCGGTAAGTGCCAGTTTTTTCTACTGTCACCATTGTGACGGGAATGACGAGCGACATTTTTCTCTGGTCTGAAAAGTAGCTTGCTTCCGACGAAAAGGTAAACATGTTTAGCAAAAGTAACGGCATGTCAGACCCTCCCAGTTTGATGACGGCTGGAGGGATACCATCGGAATTCAGGTGGGACGACTGTTTGATGAAATTCTTTATATATTGGATAGCACTGATAGAAACTGCAATTTTATTTAGGGCGCCGATTGTCTGCATCGCAATGCATGCATTTAACGGGTCCGTCTCCACGCTCACAGAGTTGGCGAAAAATGAGCTAAACGCTTCACAGATGGCAGCTGGATCACAAAGGGACTGTCCGTCTGCATTAACCAGTCCACTAGTCAAAGAGAAATGACGATTGGTTCTGCGACGCGGCACTGTAACAAGTTCTTTCGTTTTACATATCGTTCCTAGAGCCATTTGTTCTTCGTGTAGCCTCTTCGTCAACTGTATGTGCTTCACCCTATCAATAATGTTGTACAACTGTAAGAGCAAGGTGAAATTTCCCGTCGTTCTGCATCCAGCAAATAGTCTAGTGCTTCCGGCAGACTGAACGCACGATTGCGTTTTTTTGTACACGAGTAATCCACTTACCTTGGGGAGTAGAGATAGCAATAGTCTGATGGACCTGATGGTAGAAATAGTCCAGGACAAAGCACACTTAGATAGAGGAAAAAAGCACCCCAGTCGGATGATCGACTTAATTGTCGGAATTACTTCCACTTTATCCTATGGGTTGTATATTGTGGAATAAAGGCCTGTTTGCTGGCAAAACCAACGCAGAAATTGATGCGTAGCATCTTATGGTCGCTACCGGGGAGTTTGGATATTAGCTCGCTTTGTGCATTTGTGACCCCAAAAGTGCCCACCAGATCGAACATTATGGTCGCTCTCATTGGTTCAGTAACCCATTGTATCCAGTAACCAATTCTAGGCAAGGAATGGAAAGAGGTATGGATACACGAGGATGATTGCGAAGACCAATAAATCTTTGGTAAGTTAAAATTTCCAGAAAGTATCTTCTGTCTGTGTGGCATCTCAGCAGCGAATTCGACAGCCTTAGTGATGATGGCAACACTCGCGATTGACACAGTTTGCTGGTTGTAGACACATCCGAGTATGATGTGAGAAATGGTTGTTGAGATGGTAACCAAAGCGATTCGGGGACATTCGATAGCTGTAGAAGATCAAGAAGTTTCGCTACAAACGTCTGTTGTAGGTACCTCCTGCATTCACCTCTGCTGGTCTGTGTTGCTGTCTTTTCGGAAAATATGCCAATTAGGTATCATTATGATAGAACTTAATGTATCAGAGGAGCACCACCTTTCACTAACAAAGATTGCTTGTGGGTCGTTGATAGGTGCAAGCATGCTTAGGAAGTATACTTTGTTGTTAATAGATTTGACATTAAGAAGAAGTACAGAGAACGGATTATCGAGTTTGAGGTCAGTGTGTTGCGCTTCGTTACTTCATGCGTTGTTGTAGTCAGGTACTGTGGACGCAGGAGATATGAGTGGGAGTTGGGGCGTCGATTCTATTCTTAGCAGGTTAGGTGATATAGGGAATGTGCCACTTGTGAATGCCAATATTGCTGTGTGAACAGGGAGGTGGTTGAGTGAGCAAGTTAAATTTGCGCTTGGCATGCAGTTGCCTAAAGTAGGTCGGTTTCCGGTATTTCGAGATCGTTGCATTGTAAGATGGAAAATGATTCGAAACCCGAGTCGAAAGTGAAGCTGTTTTGCCATTACATACGAATATGTTAACTAAATGCGGCGTTTATTCAGGATCACATTACCACATTGAGTACAGACTGGTGAATGCCCTGATTTAAGTGTTAACGTAGAACATCTATCCAGGGTAACATGTCTTCTGCCACGAAACTGAGCAAATGGCAAAAAGCGAATGTTTGATAAAAAGTAGTAAGTAATGCTTTGTAGGTACTTTACCTATCTTGTCAGCTCAGATAAACAGATTGGTAAAATGGAACTTTGTTGTTACATGCGACCATAGATGTGATCATTTGCTTATGCATCTTTCCGCTGATGATGTCTACAAGATGACATGGAAACGACAGAAGCTGTGGGCGAAAGTACTGGAAGAGTATAGACTACATCAGCTACACTAAATGAAATAAGCACATTCACGGCATGAAGTGCTTTGAATTTGGTCGCTGAAGGATAAGAAGATTACGGTTTTGTAGCATCCTAAAACTAGGGAAATTTACAGATTACACAGGCTCAAATTCCTATTACCGCCTACCGTTTTACGCCATAAATACCAATTCAGAGGATAAAAATCAACTGCTTTACATAGTCATCCCACACTTTGTATCAAATTGCGAACAGGAGCATTTCCACTCATGACTCAGACACCTGTTCGGAGGTAGCCAGTTTATTTCACCTTTTACGAAAGCTGAGTGAGACAACAAATGTCCTGCGTAATTTTTTGTGGAAAGGCGACATAACTTTAAAAACCACATCGTCAATCAAACAACCCCCCCTCCGGTACCATACAAACGAAGCCAATTGTTATAATTTTGATGCTATATTCGCCAAGGGGGATTAGTTGTTATAAAAATACTTTGGCTATCCTAACTAGAATGTTTAGCTAAACTGGTGTTGGTTGCACCACAAAACTTACGTTTGTTTTCCAGGTGAAAGGGTGTTTCGACTGACCTCAATGTCGTATTCCGTGAGGAATTCGTTCAAACAACCCATATCGCCAAATGCTCCCCACTCCGTATTGATAATGACTTCATTCCCTTGACATAAACTAGCAAATGGCCGGCCGATATTTGAGACCTTCTCGTAATAGCAGCAATTGGTCCCCGCGCCTAAATCAGAAAACATGGTGTAACACTTTTAAAACATGGTATTCAGCCATCATTGTAACGTAAAGCTGTCAACTAATGATAGCCTAGCAAGAACCTTCCAGAATGTTCCTCGATTCAAGCTGTTACTAATTAGCACACACTTGACTTCGAAATTTCCGCTTTTTATGCTTTGAATACTGTCAGTAACTTTTCTTTACCAGCTTCTGATACAGTCTATGTTGGAGTATTAAAGTGAAGTAGGTCAAAAGGATCATTTTGATCGATGGGTTTCGAAACTAGACTATTCTATTTTGACAGAAGTTCTTATGAAAAATCTTACAATGAAAATTATGTGGCTTTCATTCGTTCAGACTAGGTGCACTGGGCAGAGTCTCTATATTTTTAAGTTTACCATAAAATGTTGTGTTATAAAGTAACAGACTTGGTCGTGGAATTCGGTCGCCTATGATACGAATAATGATGGATCAATGGTGTAATAAGAAGCAAAACACAAAAGCCTTAGAACTCTAACTAGATGGTTTGTGTTAATTGTTTGAAACTGTTCGAAACATTGACGGCAAATTAAAATGAGTGCTTCTGTCCTCACACTAATATATATAGTAACATACGTTAGAAAAAGTAGCCGATCAGCTATATCGCACGAAACTAAAAACGCGAAACTATTCACCTTCACGTGCATTTTTATTAACTAACTTTATCCTCTGTGCGCACTTCAAATGATTCCCCTGTCTATAGGGTTAGCGATACTGTGTGTCAAGCGCTTATCGCATACGTGCATACGTGTGTGTTCCATGAACATCGGACTCGCTGACACAGCTATTGTTTGGAGATAAAGGTTTAGCGTCATGTGACTCACACAACTTTCTCCCGCGTGGCGTTTCCCGTTTAGAGTGCACATGCTATTATGATTTATTCGTATAACCGTCTTACTACGTAGTCACGTTTTCCAATTTCGTCTCGGCGTAACAAAGTGTTGACGATTGAGATCGTTAATGGAGCATTACATTTCCCCACCTAAGCAATTTTGGAATTCTTTCACGGAAAGGGCTACTATACAAAATTGCTACAATAGTTGCCTACTCCAATTATGTGGAGCTGCTCGTACTTTATAGTGGTTATAGTGCAATGTATGAGGTAACAATAACCAAATCACTGCGTCACCTCTTAGGCAACGAGGGGCAGTGACATTTTGATAGACTGCGATTACACACGAAACGAGACTAACATGCTATTTGCTACTCGCTTGGCTGGCTGTGGGGTGAAACGTGTAGTGCAACAGAAAACATGCTCTTTCATTATCTTGTAACATTGGATTTTATGGTTGTTTTAACCTTCGGAACGTCCATTTGTTTAACTGACTGCACATCCGTTGTCACAAAACCCTTTTTGGTGAGTTCCTCGCTGCACGTTTCTCGCTCTGTCTGATTCGCTTCCTATTCTTGTAGCCTGCAAAATATACGTTGGGTTCAGTTGCCTCCGACTTCTATACTGTCGTATTTGGCACGTCTTACGTGTCATTGCTTACCGACTAGTATCCCAGGTTCCGCCCAACAATTGGTGACCCCGACGTGACCCGAACACGCAACCTTCTGTTGCCTTAGCCCCTCCCCCTTTTTGGGAGAATGATCCTTTATTATGGTTTTTACATTTAGAATCCGTATTTTATATTCGTAATATTTCTTCTGATTTCGCCATGTATAACCAGCTAATATCTTGCCTTCCTCAGAATATATCCTCGCAGGTGAGAGACATCATACTTTGCCCCCCTCTAGTAATGAAATACGAGACACTTGAACAGGCTATTATTCAGCGAATCACGCCTTCTGACGAGGTCCGTCTGCAGCAACTATTTAGTGATCTGCAGCTAGGAGATAGGATGCCCTCAGCCTTTTTGTGCGAAATGCAACAGCTCATCGGCACGTCCAACATGGACGTAGGGATTCTCCGCGAGCTGTGGATGCAACGCCTTCCTGCAAGCACTCAAGCTATCCTTGCAGTAGCAAGTGACTTGCCAATCACGACAATTGCAGATCTAGCAGACCGCGTCATCGAACGGCACCAGCCAGAGAATGAAACCAGAGCACTTAAGCAGCTTTGCGCTGGCACAACCACAACGACAGGCGTGACTAGCCCTCCGTCGGCAATAGACGCATTATCATTGCAGATTGCGTCGCTTCAGCGCCAGATCAAAGAACTCACCTTAAAACGTAAGCACTGCAATCGCTCTGGATCATCGCACCGTCGCACAAAACCTGATGCCTCAGGTCACTGCTTTTACCACTCGCGTTTCGGTACTAAAGCCCGTAAGTGCGTACAGCCGTGTAGCTACTCCGCTATAGATGATCCGCCACGCCGGCCTGTAATGGCCACGAACGTCAGCAAAGCGCAAAGTCGTCTCATCTACATTAGGGATTATGACTCCGATACCCAGTTCTTAGTTGATACCGGGGCGGAAGTTAGCGTCATTCCCCCTATGCCAGGTGAGCCTACCGCTTCTCTGTCGGCAAGTCTCAGTGCCGCCAATGGCACGCCAATAGCCACCTATGGTCAGCGGTCACTTACCCTGGACCTAGGTCTTCGGCGCACGTTCCGTTGGGTATTCACCGTCGCTGCAGTCCCCTTTGCCATCATCGGCATTGACTTTCTCAGGCATTTCGACCTCTTGGTCGATGCGAAACGCCAGATGATAGTCGACACTGCAACAAAACTCAGCGTACGTGGCAGTACCGCCGAGGTGACATCTATATCCCCGGTCTATGCATTTCCCCAGACCTCATCAACCTACGCTAATCTCCTTTCTCAGTATCCCAAGCTCGTTCAGCCAATGAACGCAGCTTTGCCCGTGGCAGCTCAAGTCACGCACCACATACGGACGAATGGCCCACCTGTGTCATGCCGTCCACGCCGACTATCGCCTGAGAAACTAAAGGTAGCTAGGGCGGAGTTTGAGCACATGCTTGAACCTGGAATAATCCGCCCTTCCGACAGCCCTTGGTCCTCACCCCTACAGATGGTCCCCAAGAAATCTGGTGACTGGCGTCCTTGCGGTGATTACCGCGCACTCAATCGCCTAACCGTCCCAGATAGGTATCCCATCCCACACATGCAGGACCTTACCGCATGCCTCACAGGTAAGACGATCTTCAGCAAGATCGATCTGGTTCGCGCCTATCACCAGATACCTGTGGAAGACAATGACATTCCTAAAACAGCCGTAATCACTCCTTTCGGTTTGTTTGAATTTTTAAGGATGCCATTTGGACTGTGCAACGCCGCACAAACCTTCCAACGCTTCATCCACGATGTTACTCGTGGCCTTGACTTCGCATATTCCTACCTCGATGATATCTTAGTAGCCAGTTCATCGGAACAAGAGCACCTCGAGCATCTTCGAGCTCTCTTCCAGCGCTTGACCCAACACGGTGTCACAGTCAACCCGACTAAGTGCGAACTCGGCAAGTCAACGGTAGAATTCCTAGGCCACTTCGTTTCATCGTCTGGTATCGAAGTCCTTCCTGATAAGATCCAGGCAATCAAGGACTTCCCAGCTCCGACTTCCTTCAAGCACCTCCGTCGATTTTGTGGTTTGGTCAACTACTATCGACGCTTCATTCCGCGCTGCGCTCAGCTTATGCAGCCACTGACTGACCTACTCAGAGGAAATGAACGTAAGTTCGCTTTCCTTGAAACAGCACAGGCAGCCTTCGCCGAGCTCAAGGATGCTATCTCCAACATAGCCCTCCTCGCTCATTCGGAATCGACTGCACCTCTTTCTATTACGACTGATGCCTCAGACGTCGCGGTAGGAGCCGTCCTCCAACAACACGTTGGTGGGCAATGGCAACCCCTTGGGTTCTTCTCCAAGCGCCTGCAGCCAGCGGAATCCCGCTACAGCACGTTTGGCAGAGAACTGCTCGCCATTTACCTAGCCATACGTCACTTCCGGCACACACTTGAAGGCCGCGCTTTCACGGTCTACACTGACCACAAGCCCCTTATCTTTGCCTTTAACTCTGCTAGCGACAAATACTCACCACGGGAAACAAGACACCTAGACTTTGTCACGCAGTTCACTGCTGACATACGTCATGTCTCAGGTGTCGACAATCCCGTCGCCGACGCTCTCTCACGCGTCAACCTCACTCTGCAGTCTTTGCCTACCGTCGACCTTGCCGCCATGGCATCAGCTCAGGCTCAAGACGAAGATATACAGCGCACTCTGCAGTCCACTTCGCTGCATGTGCAACCTGTTCCTCTCCAAACCACGGAAGGAACCATTCTTTGTGACACTTCCACAGGTTGCCCTAGACCTCTCGTGCCCGTCTCCTTCAGACGCACAGTCTTTGACGCACTACACTCGCTGTCACATCCTGGTATCCGTGCATCTTTGAAACTGGTCACCGAACGTTTCGTTTGGCCACGCGTAAACAAAGATGTTCGTACCTGGGCTCGCGCCTGCCTTCAATGCCAGCGCTCTAAAGTACATCGTCACACCCGCAGTCCTCTTGGTTCATTCCCTGCCCCGGACTCTCGGTTCTCACATGTACACTTAGACCTGGTAGGTCCATTACCTCCGTCACGCGGATTCGTATACATTCTTACATGTGTCGACCGCTTCACCAGATGGCCAGAAGCTATCCCCGTAACAGACTGCACAGCTGAGACTGTTATCCGGACCTTCTTGGATCGATGGGTCTCGCACTACGGATGCCCATCCACCATCACAACTGACCGAGGAACGCCTTTCGAATCTTCACAATTCGATACGTTCTGCAACTTCTTAGGTTGCCGCCGCATTCATACCACAGCGTATCACCCAGCAGCCAACGGGTTGGTTGAACGTTTCCATAGACAGCTTAAATCCTCGCTCTGCGCCTCCTCCGACCCTAGCTGGAGCGAAAACATTTCGCTCGTACTCCTAGGCATTCGCAGCAGCATCAAAGCTGACTTGCAATGTGCACCAGCAGAGTTGGTTTACGGCACGACGCTCAAGTTACCAG